GATTGTGCTATTACAGGCGCGATCAGCACGGAAACCGCAATCTAAATCTTTATCAACCTCTAGCCCTACTCAGCTTAAACGAGTTACTGAAGATGATACCGAAGACACGTCGAATGATATGTTTTACTCTGCTGGAGAAGAAAAGGGGCTAGAGGAAGGCACTGATGAAGGCACCGATGCTGAGAGCCCATCGCCTCCGGGTGAATCTGATACGGAGGCTTCGACGGAGAGTCGTAGTGAGGCAGAAGGTTCAGAAGATTCAGATGATTCCGACGATTCTTTGGAAGATATGATTTCTCTCGCTGCCCCAGAACTACCACAGCAGCAATCTGGAGCAATGTCTGCCTTCTCCTCTGCCACTCCTAGACTCGGTGGAAGGTCCCTTGGAATACACTCCCCGGGCTCTGTGTTTTCCAGCTTTACATCCAATACTGCTCGTCAGGGCAGACACTCCGGCAAAACATTCAAGGCTGAATGTCTCCTCGACCACATACCCAATGAGCTCCTCCATCCAAAACCCCGAGAAGAGGATGACCCTGATGCATTCATCTTTGTTGATGTGCACACCCTTGTCAAGATAGGGTGCTTCTCTGGCGACTGGGTTCGTGTGGCTCCGACAGAGGAACCTCAACGAAATATGCTATCCTCCTTAGCTTCTAGCGGTCTCAACGGCTTAATGGGAAGCACTGAAGAACCCGAGAACTGGCGTGTCGCAAGGGTTTACGGTGTTACGGGCCTATCTCCTCCAAAAATCAGGTATGCAATGAACAAGTCGGCAGAAAGATCGTCTAGCATCTCACAGATCCCTCCCCATGGTCTCACTCCAACGGTCCTTTTACCTCCACTTCTCCTGCATAACCTGCAGAGCCCTAGCTACGTAAAACTTTCTCCCTTGTCCCTTGGCCCAGCTCAACACGGCCCTTCGAAACTGGGACTAGCAGCCTCCCGTGGTAGCAGTGTGCCCAAAGCACCTCCTACGGCCAAAGAAGTCACTCTGTTAAAAATATCTACGCCTCTATCTCTAGACAGAGCACTTCAGCCCGCCATATTTGCTGCTCTTAAGCATCATTTCGAATCGAAACGGCGGCTGGTAAAAGCCGGGGATATGATTGGAATTAGTATAGATGAGGGACTTGGAAGGACTGTTTTCTCTGCGACCAAGAGCGCAGATGCTGTCGGCCAGGAGGATGAATTACCTTCCCAGCTAGCCCTTTCTTCGGGTAAACCTAGTCATTCCAGCAAGGTTGGCGTGGCTTGGTTCCGTGTCAGCCATGTCACAGCTCCTATGACCAGCACAGAGCCAGACGGTGCCCCTGACCATGAATTGTGGGGCGGAGTGGCAGCTATTGATACCCTCAATACCCGAATGGTGCAAGCAGGAAGTGAAATTGGAACCGTTCCCGGAACTCTAAAGAACACATGGGAGTACTGGCTCTCCGTCAAATCGGCGCCACAGCCGAGTATAGAGCAGAGTGCCACTCCATGGCTGCAGGCGGACTCCCCTGCAGTTTTTATATCTCCAATTCAGAGGCGTGTGAGAGAGCTGATAGCCGCTGCTACAAGCCCAAGAGCCATACAACTGGGACTAAAGCCAGTTGTTATCCTTCTCACCTCTACGCAGAGAAATATTGGCAAGTCAACAGTTGCACGTCGAGCATGCGCTGATATAGGTCTTCACACTTTCACCATTGATTCATATGACATTCTCAGCGAAGGAGGGGCAAATGGGGGAGATATGAAAACAGAGGCATATCTGAAGGCGAGAGCAGATAGAGCGTTTGCCTGCGGTTCTGCTTGCACTGCTCTGTTGATAGAGCACATTGAAGTGTTGACGGCTGATAGAATTGTTACATCCTTAAAAGAAATTGTTTCAAGTTCTCGAGTTGTCATTGCCACGACCACCGACGTGGAAAAGGTTCCCGAAGGGATTAGAAGTCTCTTCACGCACGAGCTTGAAATGACGGCCCCCGAAGAGAAGGAAAGAGAAGGTATTCTTAGAAATGCGGTGGCTGATCTAGCCTTGCGACTATCTCCCAATGTTGATTTAGCTTCGGTAGCTGTTAAGACAGCTGCACTTGTTGCTGGAGACTTAGTCGACGTTGTTGAAAGAGCTGTGGCTGAACGGACTTTACGGCTAGAGAAGCTCGCAGATTCCGCCGCGCCTCCTGACGCAAAGTCAAATGTCAGTGTCCGAGATGTTCAAATCGCAGGTGGTGATGCTACTAGATCTGTGACCAAGGCTGATTTTGATGCTGCTGTCGACGCTGCACGAAAAAACTTTGCCGATTCCATCGGGGCTCCAAAGATCCCTAACGTTACTTGGGACGATGTCGGTGGACTTAGCAATGTGAAGGATGCTGTCATGGAAACTATCCAACTTCCACTTGAACGGCCGGAACTCTTTGCGAAGGGTATGAAAAAGCGAAGCGGTATCCTATTCTATGGCCCTCCGGGAACAGGGAAAACATTGCTTGCAAAGGCAATTGCTACGGAATTTTCTCTCAACTTCTTTTCCGTCAAAGGCCCTGAGTTATTGAACATGTACATTGGAGAGTCCGAAGCGAATGTCCGTAGGGTTTTCCAACGCGCTCGAGATGCACGACCATGCGTTGTCTTCTTCGACGAACTGGACTCTGTAGCACCCAAGCGTGGCAACCAAGGAGACAGTGGTGGTGTCATGGACAGAATTGTCAGCCAGCTTCTTGCAGAACTTGATGGTATGAGTGGTGGTGATGAGAATGGGGGCGGAGTTTTCGTTATTGGTGCTACCAACCGCCCTGATCTATTAGATGCAGCCTTACTACGACCCGGCAGATTTGATAAAATGCTCTACCTTGGTGTTTCGGATACCCATGATAAGCAACTTACCATTCTAGAAGCTCTGACTCGGAAGTTTAATCTGCATCCGGACCTTTCGCTGAAGAGAGTTGCAGAACTCTTGCCGTTCACTTATACCGGTGCCGACTTGTACGCACTCTGCTCGGATGCCATGCTCAAGGCAATCACTCGGCAAGCTACTGCCGTGGATGAAAGAATAAAGGCTCTCCCTAATGGACCAGTTACAACGGCATACTTCTTTGATCACCTCGCCACCCCTGAAGATACTGCTGTAATGGTCACGGAGCAAGATTTCATTGAAGCGAAGAATGAGCTGGTTCCTAGTGTTAGGTATGATTCTCTCTTCTATAGGTAATTTTAATTCTATCTTGTGATTGCTAACTACTTGAACAGCGCGAAAGAGCTTGAACATTTCGAACGAGTGCGGAAGACATTTGAGACTGTTGACTCCAAGAAGTCATCCCTTTCTAACGAGCAGAAGGCAATCGAGGATGTGTCTAGAGATGGTGTGGATATCACAGCGGATGGCTCCCTGACAATAGGCGAAGCCCTCAACGCTTCCAACAAACCGACCGGAGATGCCAAGGATACCGGAGAAGACGATGACTACATAGTCAGAACTGATCATTTAGCCAGCACTGAGTCGTCAAAATAATTGAGCTCAATTCTTTACCAGCGATTTTCAAAGCACATTTATTCAATATGTGCTATAGACTTTTTTGTATAATACCTAGACGATATATCTGAGTCTACTTTTATAGTGGAATGGCTAAACATAACTTGTTACTCTTGGTTATGGCCTTAAAAGGCTAAGAATAACAAATATATCTTCCGTAGATAACCAGAACCATCAATATTCGACTTGAACCGAGACTTATATAAGAAATGGCATGCCAACGTCAACTAAAATATTGAAGCTCGAGTCATCCCAAGCTTTTCACATACGTAGTCCAAATTGCCCGACGCGGCTTGAGTTTGCGGGTGGTTTGGTCCCAATTTTTTCATATTCCAGTTGACCGATTTCTGCATAAGAGGAACGGCATCCTCCAGTCGGCCAGCATGGAAATATGCCACGCTTAAGTTGTTCATAGCGGCAATGGTATCAGAATGCTCTTCACCAGGGCCTTGTCGTTGCATTTCCACTATTCCTTCCAGGAGTTTGATCCCTTTAGACTCCCACGTCCCTCCGGGCGTTTCCTCGGCATTGGCTTGGTTGAGACGCCCATACGTGCTTGCCAGGTTCAGGCTGCATTTGATGGTTGTCTGATTAGAAGGGCCAAGATGTGTCCTTGCAGCTTCCACGGCTTTCTCCTGGAGAGCTACAGCCTCCTGGAGTTTATCCAAGGCACCATAATCTCTCCCTAATAGGTCCATCGTCATGATGGTCTGAAAATGATCAGGGCCAAGAGTCTTTGTCCGGAGATCCAATGCACGTTGGTGCAAGTCCAGAGCAGCCTGGTAATCTTTATTGTTAAAGTAGCTGTTGGCCAGGTTGTGCATGCTGGTCTGCGTAGTTTGGGAGTCCTCGCCCTTGATGCGAAGCATAATTTCCAAGGCTTTTTTGTCAAGCTCGAGTGACTGATCATATTCACCTTGTGCTTTCAGGTCAATTGCAAGATTATTCAGGCTTGCTACTGTGTCTTCATGGTCATCTCCGAGGATTTGCTGTCGCACCGAGAGGATGTACCTGTCGAGTGCTTCGGCATCCTTGTGGCGACTCACTTGTCGGTAGAGGTATGCAAGGCCACTTTTTGCACTAAGATCATCGCCATAGTGTTCTTCAGCGTATTTGACTGCTCGCTCCTGTGCTTCGCATGCCTTATCCCACTCTTCAGCGTCCCCGAGCTCTTCAGCTTCAAGCAGGATTGTCCAGTACTCCTCAGCATCCTCATCATCTCGAGGTCCAAAGTAGTTTTTCTTCGTGTCAACTGACATGGTAACTAACTAGTTAACTCGTGAATCAATCCCACCTGTCCGTTGATTGGGGAAAGAGACGATAAAGGAGATGCCGAAGATATCTGGGATTTCCTGGCGGTTAAGCAGTCCGGTAAATAACTAATCAGGTATACGACCTGCCCCCTTAGTTAACCCCTCAGTCGACGATCTCGAGCCATCCATGTTCCTTGCTTTGGTGGGATGCAAGCTTTCCTCAGCCACGGCAGGACGTTCCACATGCCACCACAGGCCTTTGAGTCCAACCTCGTTTTTGCGCCTGCGCCTCAACTGTGTCGCTGTCAAAAAGGGGCTTGGATGTTTCGACGTTGAAAAGCGTCAGTTCTATTGGATGTTGGAAGAAGAATGGCTTGTTATTACATAATCATGCGTCTAATTTAAATTAGCCGCAACCACCTCGAAGTTGCAAAACTGCAGGACAAACAGAATAATATATACAAAAGGCGATGTGCATGCATGTTCTGGTACCTTGTGAGATAATATACATGTCATGGATGGGTCTATGTCTGATACTTATCTCCTATCACATTAGACGGTTCTGAGCTATCATTTAGGGGTCATTTAGTTGGCTCTCCCAGACACACTGCTCGCCTTCGCCGCCAGCAGGCTCCAGCTATCATGGATTCCATGCTCAACCTCCGCTCGCCATTCTCCTGGTTCTCGTCAGCGGGGAAGGACGATGGAAATTTACCAAGCGTTGAAATAAAGCCTATCCAAGCTCACGATATCGAATCTGCGGAAGAGAAGCCTGGCAGGCGGCTGCGGCAACTTCTAAAATTAAACCACGCAACTAATGCTATCCTCTATAACAATCTCTCATTCTTCAATCACATACCTCACGTAAGCTACTACGTATTGCCAGTTGTCAAAGTACTCCTTCGCTAATGCCAGTCCTTAGCTCCTTTCTACCGCCTATTTGCTGGGTGGAAGCTCGGATCACTTGGACCGTCTCTATGAAGCCGAATCCAAGGAACAAGAGCCCTGGAGCGCTTCACCTAGTGAGATTGGCCAGGCAGAAGACTGGAGATTAGCTTTGGGCAAGAGAGAGTAAGATCTGCTTGGGATACCAAGGATCTAGCCAGGAGACCACTCTACTAACCTAATCAATAGGTTTCAGAGAGCTTATGTGGATTTTTTTGAAGATGAGCTGTCTCGCATGGGATATGATTGGAATGCTGTAGTATTACAGTACCTTTGTTCTGAAGAAAAGCCATTAATAAACTCTTTGATTGCTGGCTGTAAGTGTTACTCTATATACTTTATCTAAAATTGCTAACTCATTGCTACAGTCGGCCATCCGCTTATACATCTTGGATACGCATTCGAAGTATCCAGCCGAGAGGTTGCTATGGAATCACTCGCAATGGTTTCATGCTGCTACGACGATGTTCACAAGCTCTTTGACGAACCATCGGATCTTCAGAAAAGCATGGCCCCGAAATATACCACTAGTTCACCTTTCGAAATTCTAAATAAAATCCATAGAGATAAGCGGTTCGACGGGATTTTTAGAAGCCCAGGAGCTAATAATGTTGAGGAACTTTTGAAAACACACCAGGAGTTGATACTTGAGCATTGGATGGCATGGGTTCCTCAAGATGCAAACTTAACAGAACAGTTACATGCCATGCAGCGGCTTGCAACAACATTGATGGCGACTCGTCACAACGGAAAGCAGCATGATTTTTTCTTTGACCATCTTCTGACTACGACCCATGCGCTGCGTGTTATTATACCACTGGTCCCAAAGAAATTCCATGGCCCTTTACTCCGTCAGTGGTTTTTATTGGCAGTGGCCATTTATATAGCCCAGCTCCGACCGAAAATAGATGCTAAAGATATAGAATGCTACAGCATTGATGGGAAAGACTGGGCCTGGGTCGATAAACAGGCTCTAACCCGCGAGATGGCGATTTCACCTCATTATATAAAGCCTCTAAGAACGCTCAAGGAGGCGGCTAAGACCTGGGGCGATGAGGAAGGGTTTTTTCTCCGGGCTGCAGTGAAATTTATTGAAACATTTGATGGCTTTGGTGGCCTTGGATGAACCATGGGTGTAGAATCTGAGTTGAATCTGGTCACGAGTGTGGTACTTAGTGTTCGAAATTAGTTCGAAATTACACTCCATGATAATAATTTTGGCTAGTTAGTAGGATTTGATAGCAGTAGTAAGCCAGCTTTTATATAAGCCATCGCATAATGCCGTAATATTTCAGAGTACACGGTACCGATTAAGTGGTCTATTAAAATCTACAACGCCCGCTAACGTAACCTCCTTCGATTTCAAAACGCAAACTTCCTAGCAGCCAGCGGATGCTTCAAAACACACTGCCCTGGTCATTCCATTCCTGGTTTTCTCCCTGCTCCCTAGGCTTCAGCTCTTTCACTGGACTCATAGCAAGCTCAATCAAGTCGTCTAATGACACCCAGCCCTGTCTTCCATCAACTATAGCATGCGCAATAACCATCTTCCACTCATCCCACCACTTGTTTTCTGATTGGACAGCACACACCCTCCTTGGATCATCAGACGTTTCCGAGCCTGCCATGTTTGCGTATGGCCAGATAGACCGCACCATATCATACCGCTTTGGGTCCTTGAATAGAGATACAATCTGGGTATAGAATGAATTTTTTGTTTTTGGGCCTGGAACGACGACACGGGAATGTGTGGAAGGAAATGAAATCATGACACGGCCTTGATAGTTCAGTGAGGCTATCAATGTCCGTAGTCGGCCCTCTAAGATCTGAGTGTTCCAATTGATCACTTCCCGGGTTAGGATGAAGCTGGAAGACAATTAGCACACAGAGACATGATACGAAATAGGAGTACCTGTTGAGATTTTCGAAGCAATGTGATCCTACTTACGTTTTGTTAGTAGCTGGGTCTCTGCAAAACCGATCGGCAAACGTAGCAATGTCTCCAACAGCTCCTCCTGGAGAACCGCCAGAGCGATTGCCAACAATCTTCACGTAGTTCCATGATGAAGACGGGCCAGGGGGGCGGACTATTTGGTTCAACATATTTATCCGGATATCGAAATCAAGCTTGCGAACGCCGGTAATATCCCTTACACCGACTATGCGCACCTCTGGCTTAGGCGGCAATGCAGCTTGTTGGACTATAAATCTTGTCAATGCCTCTGGATTGGAGCTGAGCTCTGAAGGTGCCACGGTGATGGTGAGTCCGTCTTTCGATAAGCTTGACCCGGGGATATGATAGTGGGCAAAGTTTACTGGAGGAAGATAGGAATTGAATAGAACGGGACCTCGTGGACTTGATGGTTCCTGAGAGAGAGCAGTCGATGGCTCTGTATAGTCTGGGGGAGCATCCTGCGGAGTCGGTTGAGCACGGGGAGGAACCGGCCGCCGTTGTATTCCAGCAACTGGCAAGGACAAGCTGGATCCTGATTTCTCCATGTCTGCAAGATGGACGAGAAAATGGACAGCCTGTGGGCTGAGATTCAAATTGGTTTTTATTCCGCTGTGTGAGGCCGTGATATCAGGACATACATACCATCACCAGCGCTTGTTGCGTCGAGTTGCTTAGCCACAGCTGGCAGAAACGCCTTGAAATGTCCCCCACAAGGGGTAAGGCGCAAGAGAGTGAATTGTGCTGCCTGGCTCGAGGGTGACCATTTTCTATACGAACTCGCGGAGCTGGCATCCTTGTTCATATTAAGTGTTCAAGCCACAATTTGATGTCTTTTTTATTTTCTTTTTTTTTTTCTTTCTGGGGGTTGCGGCTGAGGCGCTTGTTTGCACTGTTTGCATAAGGACAAAACCATTAGTTATCATCGTAGGAACAGGAAGATGAACATCCTCAACGTCGACAAGCTTGACGGCGATGGCTTCTTCCTCTCCTCCAGAGCCATGTGTGCAGCTGTACGCCGAGCTGCTGGCTAATATACGGCAGATACGTCTTTACGTTACCACTAAAGATGGCGTACGGAACGACTCTCGGCCGCTGGTCACTCTCGATAGCTCGCGCTCTCTCGTGACAGTATCGCATTCCGACAAGACCCTTACGCTTAAGCTCCCTCTATCTATATCTGCCCAAGCGAGAGAACATCTGGTGGCGGGTCAGGCTACTTCGCACGGTGGAGAGAACGAATACTCCTTTCGCCTACCGATAGACGAAGCAAGTTCCGCTGTGGGCGTCGCGTCATGTCACGATTATACCTCAATGAGCCCTTGGCCAGCGAAGAGCATGACCGCGCAGACATGCATTTGTTGCCGTGGCTGCACAAATATACTATTTTTCCCAAGGGAGGGCAAAAATGTTGTGTGGAAGGATCTCCCTAGTGCAGACTGGGCCGAAATGATGGACCTATGGCATTGTCATAAGCCTGACCCGATACCTAGCAAAGACGGAGATACGGACTCTACGAGCCTGAATGGGGATTCCAAGGGCTATGGTGCCTCGAACCGGGTTGTTTGCAGGCCTGGAACAGTCTTTGTCAACATTACTTCGTTTGTTATGACACAAGGTGACTGTCAGGGGGCGGAAATAACGGTAAGAAACTGCCCCTTATACATAGCGGACTTTAAGTACCCCAACAAGCCTTTCGTTCTAGAGCAAAAAATACTATCAGATCACAGCTACTGTGGCGCGATGACTACATGACCTAGTTTGGATATTACCAGGAGCTTTATTTAATCATTTGGGCAAGAAGAAGGAGATTGGAACGTTCCACTGTGGTCCGATTTCCGATACAATTGCCCTAGATCAACAGGGCCGATATCCTCGGTGTTAACCCTGAGCTTTGAACACCACCCAGAGCTGCAGAGATGAACACTCAAAGCAGCACGGGTCGCAAGTAGCGTGTGTTGAACCAATACCATCATCCTCCTTACCTTCACACGTTTCTGGATCTTGTGTCTAGGAATTAGTGACTGGAAAGAGATGGATGATAGTATCGTTGATCCCATCTACTGGTCTCTTGTGTTGTCTGGATGTTCACGCTCACATCACTGGGCAGTACTAAAGGCAGAGGGGTTAAAGATCCGCAGATAACGGCTGTCTAGACGTATTCCATGCATTGAATTCAGCCAGAGTCCCATTGGCCAATTTGAGATACAGTCTAAGATACATACATGAAAGGCAAACTTCGCCCGCTGTGGTTTGGTGGCAAAATTATCCTCTTCATATTGACCAATATATGCACCCCCTGTCGATAGCGGCCGAAAATATTGACATCTGGCCCTGTCTTTAAATCTATGAGTTTCTTCTGCTCGTTTGTCTCAGTGGCTAATGTATGATACTTATCAATTATAGAATGCAAAAGGCGATTCCTCTTTCGACCAAGGAACTAATAATTCCTTTTCACCACATTCTGTGCCAAATCTTTGTTGTAAGTCCTGCGGTTCAACCGTTGGCGAAGTGCAAAACTCGCTTCAGGGAGTTGAGCTATTCAAAGCCAGCGTTTCCATATCACACCGAGCAAATTGCGCGGCAGGCACTTGTGTCGAGAAGAACTTACTGGAAAATTATCCGCCTGAGTTAATTGTCGGATTTCAGCTGCTTGAATCTGTCGAGCGTTCAGGAACAAGGAGGTTTGCGATACACTGTGATTCCGAGGATAACCAGCAGCATAATGGTCTATTGGTATGATTATCCTATCCGAAAACAAGGGGAGATATATATTTAACGACTTTTTCAAGGCATGGGTATTCAACACGGATTTGCAATACTCCTTCAAGGATACCTCCAGCGCCTGCCGCTCTGTATCTGTCAAGTGTGCAATGAAAGTGTTCTACAAGCATGTGGCCAATGTGCAACCTCTGGTAAATCCAGATCTGGGAATGCCATCTGTCACATCCTTGGAAGAACTACGTCTTCCACTTCACATATATCAATGCATAAAAGCTGTGCTGGAAAAGAGCACTAGACTATTGCCTCCATCGGGTAGGAAGTTTGGGGAATGGGAGATCGGACTCCTTGACCTTGAATCAGCCTGATATGACTCGTACATGATGCAGTTGTCAAGCGCCGATACCTCTCCCGCGATGGGCGGTTTGAGTCGATTCCGCACTCTCAGGTTCAGGTACCTGAGTCTACCAGTCAGCCAGCCCGGCCTCTCTGCCGTCATTTATGCTTTCCCTACCCAGCTGCATGAAGATCCATGACTTACCAGGTTCTGTGTGCCCCAGCACCGACCAATTCTCAACCTTCTGGCATAACTCTATCCTGCAGCTCTCCAACCCCGGTGGCTTGCTGTGTCCCGGCGCTGAGGTTCGAGCTCTGACTCGACTGGCCAACCGCGTGGTAGGATTTCAAGCACATCATCTATCAGCTGAAGGCCTAGGCTGCAGCCTTGGGTATACGAGACTGAACAGCTGAGGGAACTCCAGCCAGCCGAGTAAGGGCTATCATAAAATGTTCTGCAGCCACCTCCGCCATCTCTTTCCCTTCAGCAGCATCCTTCAGCCTGCATATTCCGCTAGCTGAGATGTTCTGGGAAAGATATCCGAAGCATCCGAAATGCTGTATCAAACCCCCTCCCGCCAGAAGACTGTAATATGAAAATCTCAAGGCAAAGTTACGCCGTTTATGGCTCTTGAAGGTGTAAGGGAGAAGCACAGAACCGAACCTCACTTCTTGGTGTAGAGTTAACTCCTAGAGTAAAGGTCATACCCTGTCGAGGAGTATCAGTGACAGATACTCCCAGCCGGGTCAGCCTTCCATAAAATATATGAAAAGCATTATATCAATATTACTGTCCCAGTAGTTGGTTACTCCTGGCTGTCATTTTGTCCTCAACGCGTCAAGCGACACAAAGCATGCTCGCGAAGTCTATTTTTATCCTTCGTCTGTCCGCCGCGCTTCGTCTCGTCGCTTATTCGTTTATTCCGACCCCAGCATATGCAAGGAAGACCCCAGCAAAACAACCGCAGCGGCTTTTCGACCGACCAGGCCAGACATCGGCCGTTCGATCTCTCTGCGCAGGCTAGTGCATGGTGTCAGCTTGTCTATCGCTGAAGGATGGGTTCTGCTGGTTTGACAGGCTCCCTCTCGCTTATCTGGACGTTAACTAGTTAGTTATCCAGTTAGTTATTCGCCCGTTAGCTGTCACATCAACAGCACATACCTTACTATCCTCCAACACCCCGCGTCAGCTGGTGGATGACAGCCTTGGTGTATCCATGAGCTTAACTATCCCTGACCGGGGGTCGATACCCTTGAGGCTGGAAGATGCTGTCTCTCCCCCGGTTGGTTGTCATAGGTTGCCGGACAGTGGACATTTACTATTTGCAGGTTCCAAAGCTGGTGGAGGAGAAGCCACCATTGACAACGTCTGCATACCGAATTTACAATGTAGATGGCGGAGATAGCTGAGAAATACCGTCCTTCAAATTCCATTGAATGCATCCTGGCGTTCTTGAGGAACCAATGCTGAGTGGTACGCTAGAGAACTATCAACATCAACTCCAACCGAAGTTCTCTAAGCGAATCACGAAAATCACGGGCAAAAGCTACCAAAGAAATGAAGAAAAAAAAAAGAAGGCTCCATTCAGGACTCCAAGAATATCTCGAAAAAACCCCACAGTAAAAAACAAGTGAAATTGAAAATTGCCAACGCCAGTACCGCCATCTTCCCTGTCAACAGGGAGCGCAGAAGCAACCTCAAGAATCATATTAATCATACATTGATGCAGGTGATGGGTAGGTAGGAATGCCATCCTCTACCCGTGAAATGCAGCACTATCTCCGCCAGGAAAGGGAAGAAAAATATAAAAGTATTAAAATAGAAAATCCATCCTTTGGGAGCCATGTGTTTTTCGCAACCTTCAGCTATCTCCCAAAAGCATCAGGATCCAGCAGACTGGTCGATGTGTCCGAAACGAAAATTTTTATCTTTCTCCCCTTTTTTTTTGCGCAATTTTCCACACCGAGCTCGAATCGATTTAACGCCATTGGATTGGTATCGACCGGTCGATTCTCGAAACCTTGACGACCAAGTTGGACGGCATCTGTGAGCTCGAACTCAGTTCTATTCCCGCCGTGAGCTCCATTGCCCATTCTATGCTTCAACCCTGAGGTCAGGGAGCAGCATCTCTTATTGCCCCCTGAACACAAGCGTACCTCACCCTATCAACACGATGTGCCGCACACATGGCAGTTTTTGCCGGGGATTACCCATGTGTCTTCTCCGTTCGACTTGCAGCTTGGACAGAGTACTCCTGGCATCTAGAGGGGACATCCATCAGTATGCGTTTTCACTTCAAGATTAGGTGCAAAAAAACTTACTGGAGACATGTGGTTTCGAGTCCGGGACTGTGATCGAATGTGACTCTGCTTAGCGGCGTTCCCAACTGGCCTGAGACGAGCGACTGCAACCATTGTGAATGAAGGGCTCCGCTAGATCTCTCTGCAATATAAACAATGTTCCTCCAAAACCCGTGGGTTCACACAGCTCTGGTTGTTGTGCTCGTCGCTTCCTCGTTCTTCGTCTTTCTCCCTTGGGTATGTGTTATGAGAGGAATGAATGCCGATAGGCAGATGTCTTTATATACCGAAGTCGTCCTCTTTAAGATTCAGGAGGGGAAAGGAGACGGTCGGCGCAATGTGACAAGGAAAGCTTTCAATTGGTGTTATGGCAGCCGTGAGGAAGAAATATTTTTTGGATGGACTGCTGTTCTTTTTCTTGTGTTGTTTGACGGGGGAGGCTGCGTTTAGAATCTCTCTTTTTTTTTCTGAGGAGATATATATATTGGTCGGTTGGAAATTTTTTGCCTTCGTCAAAGAAACAACGGTGCCTCTAGAGAGCGGAGGCAGACGAGCTTTATATCTGTGATACCCACCAATTTCCCCAAGTTCGCGGTATGTACTATTTATCCTCTGCAAGGCTCCACGATCGGCGCTACCAACAAGGGGACCAAATGGGTACTGATACATTTGCCGACATGCACAAGGTTAAATTTGCGATGTGATGTCAGAAAGCTGGTTTAGCTCGGGCGAGGGTCCCCAACATTGCAGCTATCCAATCTATTGGATATCCCTATCTCCCAGACAGGCGGAGCGAATCGCGATTCTTCACCCTTTTTTTCTTCTTTAAAAACATTATTCAGGCTAAGTATGTCCAGCACGGCCGTTGTTCCTTTTTCCTTTTTTACATCAGGAAAAAAAGAAAGAAAATGAAAAATATAACAATTTCACACTCTCGCCGGGGTTGTTTCCCACCCCCCTTGATCTTCGGCTGCGCTTCTTCTACGGAGATGGGAGATACATCAGGAATACAGGAATACCTTCATACAGATGAGTTGTCATAAACTACCCCCCTCAATCCTACCCCAAATCTAATTTCAGGCCGCCACGAAACCCACTGGAGGGAGACAGATATTCTCCCTAGCGTCGACGCCCTGTGGATTCAGATGGCTGATGGTGAAAAAAATAATTAGAATTCTCCAAAAAACAACAGATGCTCCAAACTATCAAGTCTGTCAGCAGAATTTCAGGGCCAAAAGAGCCAATCCTGGCCCTGTGGGGCTTTCATCCTGGATATGCTTCTCTCCCCTGTACAGAGTATGCCGTACTATTACTGCCCGTTCGCCTCTTGGTCTCGTTCAATCTGTCCTTTTTCGCTCTCTTGCTCGCTGGCTAGCAAAAGCCAAGCTCTAACTCCAAGTGCGAGTTCGAGTCGCGCCCCTCATGCGGTCCACCGCCGTCCGCGCGGTAAATATGGCGGGCTTCCCCCACGAGTACCAAAACCAAACCGTTCAAAAGCAGGATGACGACACCCTATGGTTGTTTCAGTCACCTGAGATGTCTATCGACACTCATCCGGGACCTGTCGACCGTTGAGGACCATATCCAAAGCGAGTTCGAGCATACGAGGTGCTGTCAGGTAAAATGGTTTCGAATTCACGAATGAAACCAGGCTAATATGACACTATCCACGATTCTCGCCTTCGTCACATTTTCCTTACCCTGGGCCCTTCTCCTATGTTCCAGATTTTTTTCTGGATTCAAGGATGCGTACGGGAAGTATCCAACCAGCTCGGCTCCTTTGTTTGCTGCTAAGCTTGCACCTTAAGCCCAAAATGACATTAATTATGACACACGGAAACTCTGGGTTTCTCTATGTTGAATAACGCTCACGCAGGCCCTCTGCACCTTGATCGGTCAATAATGATGGCCCACAGCTAGTACGACCTCACATGGGGCAATCCACCAGTTACAATCGCTAGCGGCTAACGGCCGACCGCATAATGACGAGGGTGGCACGAGCGAAATGTGACAGCTCGAGTCAGGGATTGCCAAAACCCTGCATCATAGCCTACATCTTAAACATTCCCAGGAAAAAAAAAAAAAAGAGAGAGAGAGAGAGAGAGAAAGA